GCCAAAATAGAAATTTAATTACACGACGTGATGATTAGATTGAATTTCATGTTTATAAACAGTTTGATCAATTGTAGTCTTAAAATTCAATTGTTAAGATCATAAGTCAATTAGTTGATGTTAGACATGAACATCGTTGGATGCCGGTCGGTTTAGTGGTCTAGTGGTGAAGTGCTCGTGCACTCGAGACCAGTAGGTCCTGGGTTCCGATCCTGTGAGACGGGATCGTGGATGCGCATTGTCACTGAGGAGTACCACAGTAGGACGAAACGGTCGTTCACTGCTTCCAGATTTTCCATGATGATCTAGCTTCAATTGACTCATGATCTCAACTATTGAAATGACTAAGATCTACACAAAACCCCCTTCTGATAGTAGTCTTGAATGACAATCAGAAGATTTAGGTAAATATTTCAAGTTGATTAGTGTTTACGGCTTAGTGATCTAGAGGTTAAGTGTATGTAAGTGACTTCGAAATTTATGGGTTCAAATCTTGTGAGAGAGATCGTGGTTGTGCACTGTTGAGGAGTTTCACACTACGAATGAAATGATAGTACAGTGTTTCTAACATCAATCAATTCATGATCTCAATCCAAAAACTTAACAATCTCCACAAGGCTATACTGATAATTCTTATGGATTGTTTGAATCTCTTTCAATGATCCAACTATTTTAGTGAAATTAATGTCAGATCTATATCACTCAACCAATTATTGGAACATAGAAGTTTATTTTTACTTACTGATATGTTTCGGTCTAAAAGTCCTATTGTGGGACTCCTCCTTGGCAGTGCGCATCCACGACCCCACCTTGAGGGATTCGAACCCAGGACCTATTATTCGGTAACCTGATTCTACGCTTGTGTCTGAAGAGAGCATTATGACGTAGTGGATTTAATATGAAAATCAATATTTGGATACAGGTACATCCAGTTGATGAGATTCTGACAATAGAAATTGTACTTTCTGTATCCAATTGTTAATCAATATTCAAAATATCTTTATATTTTTATGTCAATTTTATAGAAATTCAAATGTAATCAATCAATTTAGATACTTAGTCTCCATCTCATTACACAACCAAGTAGTTATCACAACGTGATGATATTCGAAGCAAACAGTACTGAATTGAAGTGCCAGAATGAACATCAACTCTAAGATACAGATACATCCAACTGACGAATTCCAAATAGGACGAAACATGCATCAAACTAGATTTCACTATTATCCACTATCTATCTATTTTTAATTATAAACCATATGACCTAAAACAATCGGCATACGGTGTACATATTGTCTGTTGTCAATCTATTTATATCATAGACAATCTATAATGCATATTGAGTTCTTGCCTTATTATTATTATTAGTTGTCTTATATCCTGTGTTTCTATTGTTATTATCTAGTTATACAATCTTGGCTTAGTTCAATGTTATTTCATTCAATTGACAATGAAGTTATTATCAGAAGGGGGTTTTGTGAAGATTGTAGTCATTTCAATAGTTGAAATCATGAGTCAATTGATGCTAGACCACCATGGAAAACTTGGAAGAACTGGGCAGTCGTTTCATTCTAGTATGGGACTCCTCGTTGGCAGTACGCATGCACGATCTTGCCCCTCTCGTTTTTCAAACACAGGATCTATCAGTCAGTGGACGGTGGCGTGATTTCATGGATTGTTTAAAGTTACACATTAACGTCGTTGGATGCCGGCTGAGTTGTCTGATGGTTAAGCGCTCACGCGTGAGACCGCTAGGGTGTGGGTTCGAATCTCGCTGGGGGCGGGATCGTGGATGCGTACTGCCAAGGAGGTGTCCCATACTGAGACGAAACGACCGTCCAGTGGTTCCATATTTTCCATGATGTTCTAGCTTCAAACGACTCATGATTTCAACTATTGAAATTAAGATTTTGTTTTATTACTTATCTAGATTTATTCTTCATTAATCCCTTCAAAATGATGTAAATTTTTCAAGTCTACTTTATCTATAACCTAATGTAATTGTCGTTAATTTATAATTGTTAGATGAATACTGTTTTGGTCATTGTATGCTGCTTTTTACTATGGTTAAGAACAAATCAACTTTCAGTTGAAGAAGAAATTAGGAAATGACGTTAGAAATGGAGAGGACACACATTTTGGAAGTGATCAAACTACATCGCGATGCAGGTGGTACCTTGGAATTGTGAAGGGAAACAGTAAAGCGGAAGATCAAGGAATACACTACGACGAGAATTGGAAGCGGGTAAGAAAAGGATGAATAGCAAGTAGGAGGAACTGGGAAGGATTGTTAAGGACAGGGTTTGATGGAAAATGCTGACGAGTGGTCTATACGCCTCTATGAGGAGTAATAGGAGTATGTATATATATATATATATATATATATATATATATATATATATATATATATATATATATATATATATATATATATATATATATATATATATATATATATATATATATATATAATACTAGTAGTCGTTGTCGTGCCAACTTCTAATATACCAGCAGTGCACATCCACCATCCTGCCTCTTGAGATTCGAACACAGGACCTATGGATTTCACGTGCGAATACCTATTGATCTTGTACAAGAACACTTAATCTCTAAATGATTGAGTCGGTTACCATCTAATCATGTTAATATCTAACTTCAACCAATCCTTATTATTTCAATTCTATAATCAAAAATTCAATATAAACTAAATCAAAATATTTTGACATTGTGCATTCATACGAATTGATATATGTAACTTGATGGTATTTCAATCGAACACTAGAAATAATAGCCAACATCTGACTATACTCATATGCACTTACACACATACACACACACACACACAGAAACACGTACGTACACACACACACACACCTATCTTTCACTACTCTTAAGTTAATTTACAGTTACATAAAGTCTATAACTGATTACTGGTTTGTATTGATGAAATTATTTTTTCTAATCAAGTTGTTACTATAAATAAACATACAAATAATGAGTTACATAGACTTGGTGATTATTACCATTCTTGTTCACCTGTACACATACACCTAAGCACAAATACTTGTGTAATATATAGATATGGATCGACGTCGGTTTCCACGCACACACATACACACACACGAACACACACACACGAACACACATACCTACCCACATACACAGGATAACAATCGTACGAATAGGTAAACAAAAAAAAATTTATAGAAAATCAAATTTAATCAACAACAAAAAAATGGCTGATCTAATTAACTATTCTCATAGAAATATTGATTGAGGAGTATGTTGTTTTTTCCCCCTTGTTTTCATTCAATCTAATAATTGATTAACTGACCAATCGTATAACACGTATATCATTATTATCATTCTATCATTGTTTTTATTTCAATAGAGTATTGAGAAGAGAATGTAGTCATTGGAATAGTCCAATTGAAGTTAGACTATCATGGAAAACCTGGAAGTATTGAATGGTGAGATAGTAACTCATTGAAGACAATGATGGATGTATTGTTCAATTTCGTGAATTAGTTAAAGTTAGATATGAATATTGTTGAATGTTGACCGGTTCAGTGGCTTATAGGTTCAGATTTTCAATGCGAGACCGATAGGTTCTGGGTTCGAATCTCTCAAAGCAGGATTGTGAATGTGCACTGCCACTGAGCAGTCTCATACTAGGACGGAACGTTCACTCAGTGTTTTTAGATTTTCCATGACGGTCTAGCTTCAATTGACTCATAATGTCAACTATTGAAATTACTATCATATCCACAAAAACCCCTTCAGATATTAATGAACATATGCTCAATAGTGACTGGCTACAAAAGGTTAGAAACAAAGACCAATGGAGTACAACCTGCTTTGTTGTGAGATAGTAAGTGAATGAAGACAATGATGGATGTATCGTTCAATTTCGTGAATTAGTTGAAGTTAAACATGAACATCGTTGAATATCGACCGGTTCAGTAGCCTATAGGTTAAGAGTTCCAATACAAGACATATAGGTCCTGGGTTGGAATCACGCAAAGCAAGATCGTGGATGAGCATTGCCACTGAAGAGTCCCACATTAGGACGAAACGTTCTAGCCTTAATTGATTCACAATTTCAACTATTGAAATTACTATCATACCCACAAAAACCCCTTCAGATAATTTAATATTCAGAATAATCAATTGTAGAATACTTATAAAGAATTGATTTTCAATTGAAAACAATTAGTATAGTGTATATGAAAATTTACTCAAATATTTCATGTAAGTACTTATGAGCACACGCCCACACACACCTACTCACACACACACACACACCTACTGACACACACACACACAACATGTATACAATGCCAAGACAACTAGCTCTATAGATAATCCTATATAACATATATATATCTATTAACATTAACTAAGTAGGTAAATAGAAGACATTTATTAAAGTGTATCAAATCATTAATAATGAGTAAAATAATTTATTATTTCTACTCTTCTCATCTTGACACAAATATTTTGTTTATTGTTTACAATTTAACCTCTGTCGATGATGATGATGATGATGATGATGATGATGATGCTGATGAGGAGGTGGTGGTGGAGGAGGAGGAGGAGGAGGAGGAGGAGGGAGAAGAAGAGGAGTAGGAGGTGGAGGAGGAGGAATTAGGGAATGACAGTAGAGAATAAGCAACAATAATAATAATAATAATAACAACAACGGAAATGTAGACTCACTCTACACACTACCCACTTCCCCCAATTCTATGACAATGCTAATATGTAAATGAATCCTATTAAATGAAAAATTGGATTCTCTTTCTATGTATATATATAGAAGATAAAAGAATAAACAATGTGAATAATCAATTCTATTATTGAAGAGATAGAAAATAACATTCTTGTAGTAGTAGTAATAATAATAATAAAGATGATTAGGATAAAAACAACAACAAGGAACATAAGTAGAATGAAAGAACCACTCAAGTCAATGAATATCAGAAAGGATCGAATAATATATGGAAGTCAAGTGGAAAAGAAATCATGTTAGGGATAATGATGATGATGCTTTGGATGATGATGATGATGCTTTGAATGAAGACGATGATGATGCTTTGAATGAAGACGATGATGATGCTTTGGATGATTATGATGCTTTGGATGAAGACGATGATGATGCTTTGGATAATGATGATGATTATGATGATGATGATGATGATGATGATGATGCTTTGGATGATGATGACAATGATGCTTTGGATGATGATGATGATTATGATGATGATGATGACAATGATGCTTCGGATGATGATGATGATGCTTTGGATGATGATGATGCTTCGGATGAAGACGATGATGATGCTTTGGATGATGATGATGATGATGATGCTTTGGATGATTATGATGATTATGATGATGCTTTGGATGATCATGATGATTTGGATGAAGACGATAATGATAATGATATTTTTGTTTCAAGTTGAGTAGCATTCAAGAAGAACAAATGTTTCATCATGATATGATAATCTTCAGTGGTGTAAACTTAAGATTTTATGTAACAGAATGAACCTAATAGATAAGAGTTTTGAGTTCTAAATTAATACTTACTTAATGACTTACTTACTTATGCCTGTTACTCCCAATGGAGAATAAGTCACCGACTAGTGTTCTCCAACACACTCTGTCCTACGTCCTCCTTTCTAGTTCGATTCAATTCTTGTTCATTCTTCTCATGTCCGTTCCCATTTCTCAGTGTAATTGGGACGACTCAATGTAAGTAAATACAAAATTACAGAATCATTAAGTAAAATCTAAGAGTTTACTTACTTGCTTACTTATGCCTGTTACTCTCAATGAAACATGGGCTGCCGACTAGCATTCTTCAACCCACTCTGTCCTACGTCCTCCTTTCTGGTTCGATTCAATTCTTGTGCATTCTTCTCATGTCTGTTTCTAGTTCTCCGAGTAATATGTTATTCAGTCTTCCTCTTCGCCTGTGGAATTAACGATTCCAAGTGAGAGCTTGTTTTGTGATGTAATTCGGCGCTTCTCTCAATGTGTGTCCTATCCATTTCTGGCGCTTCTTCCTGATTTCTTCCTCCTCTGAGATCTGGTTTGTTCTCACCAACAGTAGGTTGTTGCTGATAATATAATGGCCGGCCAATAGGTCCAAAGTATTTTGCGTAGACAACTGTTAATAAACACCTGTATCTTCTGGATGATAGCTTTCGTAATTGTCCAAGTTTGCGCGCCATACAGTAGAACTGTCTTGACATTTGCATTGAAAATTCTGACTTTGGTGTTGGTTGACAGACTGTTGTTTTGATTTCCAGATATTCTTCAGTTGTAAATATGCTGCTCTTGCTTTGTCGATCCGTGCCTTCACATCTGCATCGGATCCACCGTGTTCATCGATGATACTGCCCAAATATGTAAAGGTTTTTACATCTTCCAAAGCTTCTCCGTATGTGATTGGATTGATGCATGCTGTGTTGTATTGAAGAATCTTGCTTTTCCCTTTGTGTATGTTGAGACCTACTGTTTCTGAGGCTACTGCTATACTGTTTGTTTTCTCCTAAATTTCTTGTTGCGTGTGTGATAGATGAGCCAGTTCATCTGAGAAGTCTAGATCATCCAGCTGCACCTAAGCTGTTCACTGTATCTCATGCTTCCTCCCATTTGCTGACGTCTTCATAATCCAGTAGATCACCAGAAGAAAGAGAAAAACGCTAATCAGAAAAAAAGTTCAAATCAATGAAGAATACTAAATAATCATCATCCATTAAAATGATCGGATTAAATTAACCATACAATCGCCTCTATACCTAATGATCTTAAGAGGTGTACAAGTACTGTTTATTACGGTAGAGTCGAACTGTATCACCGATGGATCACCGAATATCTATCAAAATGGGGTTAAGAATAAGTATTGGGAATTCAAATTAGAAGTTGTGATTAGATTTTACATCACCAACGCAAAAAAGATCCTTAACTCCATATTCTAACATCCCCAGTTATGATTGATATTCCCTGATTAGTTAAAAGGGTTACCAATCCAAGTTCATTCAATTGCACAATTCAATTCTATTTTTATTTTATATTAAACAGTCTTCATAATCCCTGATATATCTTAGATAAATTTCAGTAATACGATGATGTGTACTACTGATATCGACAAATATAAGTAGTATATAATACCAACCAGAAATAGAAGGTCTGGTAGCAGAAGGTTGGAAAGATCGGATCAATGAGAATGAGAACAAATAGTAATTGTTATTGAAATGAAGGAACAATCAAAGTTAAGATAATTGATGAAGTATTTACATATGAAGTATTCAATGGATGATTTTCACCTTTTACTAACTTACTTAAGCCTATTACTCCTCATGAAGGAGCATAGGCCGCTTACTAGCATTCTCTATCCAACCCTGTCCTGGGCAATCCTTTCCATCTCTTTCCAGTTCTTATTTATCCTTTTCATATCTGATTGTATTTCCCGACGTAATGTGTTCTTTGTCTTTCCTCTTTTCCACTTCCCTTCAGGATTCCAAGTTAGCGCTTACCTTATGATGCAGTTTGATGATTTCCTCTATGTATGTCCTATCCATTTCCATCGTCTTTTCCTAATTTCCTCTTCAGCTGGTAGCTGGTTTTTTCTCTCCAACAGAAGGTTGTTGCTGACCTTTTACCAAATAAATCTATAATTTTGTATTGAAACACACTGGTTGTTCCCTACCGATATTCTCATTCATAATCATACGAGTACAGAAAGATTTATGTTGTATATGGATTCACTTTAAATTAGAGTAAACTGATGATTTATTGAACATGAAACTGGTCAAATGATTATGAACATATTAACACTGAATTCAAAACTCTTTCCTTTCTACAATCACTTAATGGAGAACAGATTGAATGTAACTAAGCTCAAGTAAATCCCATTGAAAATCAATAATATTTGGTTCCTATGTACATCTAGATGATGAATCTCAAATGTTTCTAATGTTTACATCCAATAGAAATCATCGACCTCTCTTACAATTAAGTTATTTAACAGATAGTATTATTCAAACAATTAACATGTGCTCACTAGTGACTAGATTCCTGAGGGAATTCTCAGAGTTCTAGTGAGAAGTCTTGAACACTGAAGCTAATCCGTGTCGGGTAGAGACAGGTATCTACCTCAGTACAATGGAAGATGATCGCACAATTTCATGGATTGGTTGATGTTAGACACTAACACCATTAAATGCCGGCTCAGTGGTCCAGTAGGTTAAGCATTCGCAGGCGAGACTGAAGGCTCTGGGTTCGAATCCCACGAGTGGGATCGTGGATGCGTACTGCTGAGGAGTCCCATACTAGAACGAAAAGGCCATCCAGTGCTTACAGGTTTCCAACAGTGGTCTAACATTATTCGATTCATGATCTCAATCAAAAAAAAACAACTTAATAATCTCCACAACCCCAATACTGATAACAAACAATAATCATTTGTCTATATCTTTGTATGATTGATATGTTTGAAAAGATTAAGAGTTTCATCTAATAATCTGTGAACAGAACGAAGACTCAATAATACAATGATCAATGATCAGCTAACTATTCTGATGCATCTCAGCTTCGAAAACTATAGAGTGAGAGAGAGAGAGAGAGAAGTTCATGTTCAGAAGAGGGAAATACATTCCCATAAGCAGTCAAAAGCATGAACAACCATAAGCACAACATTAAAATGTCCTTGGGAAACGTTACAAAATAGCATAATAAAAAAGAGACAACGGACCAATAATATTTAAGGCTCTCTCAAGTGGGAAATACTACATAAAGATGGAAATGGGTGCTTTTGGCGCGAAAACAAGAAATTCAAATTTTCTAAATAGAATTACTAAGTGAGTTCTGGGGATGTGACATTCCCAATAATTATCATTTTTATCACTAACATGTTTGTATAAATGTGTATGTTTGATCATATGTGACAACCTACAAACATCTCTCTCTCTCTCTCTCTAGAGTTGCTTAAATAACCTGCAATTCCCTATAACATATGTAATTGAATCTTATTGATTGATTCGATCCGATTCGGTTCAATTTGACCCTGGTTTCGTTTGCACATGAGTGTTAGTCTTTCTGCTCAAATTCGTTTAGTTCTACTTGTAGCTATGTCATTTGGGCTAAGTGATAAACTATAGTCGGCTATTTATGTTACCTACTAAATTCATACATCGTTAGAATTTATTAAATAACAGTTATCGAAGTGATTGATATATACAAAGCCTAAAGAATTATCTTTAAGTCAATCCATTACAGTATTATTAAAAGTTTCTTTTTGTTTGAGATCATGAACCGATTGATGTTCGACCATCATTGTAAGACCTGAAAGCATTGGACGTCCGTTTTGTCCTATTGTGGGACTCCTCAGCACTGCACATCCACGGTCCCGCCCACGGGATTCAAATCCAGGGCCTTCAGTTTTGTGCGCGGACGCTTAATCTACTGGACCACTGAGTCGGCATCCGATGGTGTTAATGTCTAAAGCCAACCAATCCACAATAGGACGAAACTGCAGTCCAGTGTTTCCAGGTTTTCCATGATGGTCTAACATCAATCGGTTCATGATCTTAATCAAAATAACTTAACAATCTCCACAACCCCTAAACTGATAAAAGTTTTTTCTTTGTTTTATAAATGAGTTAATCAGGTCACGGGTACATAGAATAATGTATGTATTCATCTATACATTTTATGTATCTATGGATGTATGTGTGTGTGTGCGTGTATGTGTATCTCTATGCACGAGGATACATATGAATGTCATTGTTATATATGTGTGTTTCATTAAACCATGATTAAGCATTGAAAATAATTCTCATTCAAGGGGGAATGAGATATGAACACATATGTATATACATACGTATAAAACAAAGAGAAAACATTTTAATGATACAGTAATCAATTGACTTTGACATAATTCCATAGGGTTCATTTATCAATCATGTTGATTGCTTTACCTTATGCCTGTTACTCCCAATGGAGAATAGGTTGTCGAATGGTATTCTCTAACACACTCTGTTCTACTCCCTCCTTTCTAGTTTGATTCAATTCTTGTGTATTCTTCTCATATCTATCTCAATTTCTTCCGAGTAATGTATTCTTTGGTATTCCTCTTCTCTTTTGGCCTTGAAGATTTCATGTGAGAGCTTATCTTGTGACGCATTTAAGTTCATTCCTCAATGTGTGTCCTATTCACTTCCAGCACTTCTTCATGATTTTGTCCTCCACTGAGATCTGATTTGTTCTATCCCACAGTAGGTTGTTGCTCATACTGTAGTGTCTGGTCAACGGATCTGAAGTATTTTGCGTAGACAATTGTTAATAAACGTTTGTGTCTTCTAGATGATGGCTTACTTAGTTGTCCAAGTTTCCACCACATACAGTAGAAGTGTGTTGACAGTTGTATTGAAAATTCTGAGTTTGTTATTGACAGTTA